GTTTGTCACAGCCCCTCGTTTGTTGTCCTCTTCTCCCTCTCTGCCTACGGTTTACCGGGCAGTTCTATTTGACGATATATATATATATATATATTGTGAACCGACAGTCTGTAGAGTTTTCCATCTGGTGTGGGTGAGTGATAGTGTACTTTCATTTTGGTTAAGGTAGATTATCATTTACAGCGTAATCAGTGAGGGGATTCTGCAGACTGTTGAGGGTTCAGCCTCCTGATGAGCCGTTGAAACTCCGACGAAACAGTTTGTCACAGCCCCCATTTGTTGTCCTCTTCTCTCTCTCTGCCTACGGTTTACCGGGCAGTTCTGTTTGTGACAATATGTCATGGCCCCTCGTTTGTTGTCCTCTTCTCGCTCTCCCTCTCTGCCTACTGCCCGGTAAACCGTAGGCAGAGAGGGAGAGGGAGAAGAGGACAACAAACGAGGGGCTGTGACAAACTGTTTCGTCAGAGTTTCACCGACTCATCAGGAGGCTGAACACTCGACAGTCTGCAGAATCCCCTGCCTGATTACACTGTAAGTGATAATCCACCTTATATATATTGTCAGGCAGTCGTTGATGCTTAACCACAGCCGGGGTTAAGGTGGATTATCACATACAGTGTAATCAGTTAGGGGATTCTGCAGACTGTTGAGGGTTCAGCCTCCTGATGAGTCGGTGAAACTCCTATGGAACAGTTTGTCACAGCCTGTTACATGCTGCGCCTGCACACCGGCCCCATTCCAGGGGCCCGACGGTTGCTGAGGGGCCCCCAGGCCGCATGCCCATTGGACACGTGCCCTGGAGGCCCACGGCAGCCTTTCAGGCCACAGGTACGATTTGAGGCATTACTTATTTATTTACTTATTTATTTACTTATTTATTTATTTATTTGCTGCCCTATTTTTGTCTGTTCAGACGCCATTTCAGACTTGCAGTCCCCAAGGCGAGGCCTGGGCTGGACTCACCAGGAGGCAGGGCCGATCAGGGCCAGGCACACTTTGGGCACCCTGCTGCATCAGCAGCACGGTCTGGACACCTGGTAGGGGCCCCGACCGTGCGGGCTGTTCGAGGCCACGCTGCAGCACTCCCAGTAGGGCCCAGCGCAGTATATAGCTGGGCCACGACCTGGGCAGACACACAGTTCGAGTAGCTCACTTCTTGACCGACACGCAGCTGGATTAGCGCTGCGCTGAGGATTTAGAGGTAGAGGATAGACAGACAGAGGGGCGGAGGGCATTCCTGCAATGGGGCTCACCTGGCGCCATAGCTGGGGCTCCACGGATGCGCCGACCTGCACACGACAACGCGAGACAACAGTCAGTCTACGGTGGCGGTACCTGCAGATGAGACAGCAAGGAGGACGACATCTTCTTCTTCTTCTTGGTCTCGTCTCCCTCTCGTCTTCCCTCTTCCTCCTCCTTCTTCTTCTTTTTCTTCTTCTTCTTCTTCTTCTTCTTCAGATAGATAGATAGTTAGAGAGAGAGAGAGAGAGATTACATCGGGCATAGCGCCCAGGATCCGATCCGACATTTTTGAGGCAGACATTGATTGGACTTTGGCAAGGGACTATTTTAGGACTTCGCTATCACGATCTTGGTATTCTCCCTCGCCGCCTTCTTTGTCTCGCCTCTCCCCCCATCTCTCATCCGTGGTATCTCCCCCCATGTACGTGTACAAGGAGGGACCTTTCTTCAATGTGCGCGGTCCCTCCTCCTCCTCTCACATGTGTGGTGTATGATGGGATGTCGCGTCAGTCCCAGTCAGGTCAGGTCTTACCTTTGAGTCTTCCACTGCGCTACATTGTGCCGTTTTTGTATCAAGATGTACATTGCTTGTTGATGCTTCACTGACATTGCATTGTCCATTTCAGTCCTTTCCATCACATTGCGGATCCTTGGCTCCATACACGTTTGTTATGAACTTGGTTGTTTGACAATTGGATTGCCACTCACACACAACAGAACTCACACATGCCCATACATGCACGAGTCAGGGGGGAGGAAGAGACAGAGTCCACCTGCACACACACCAGAGATAAGCAGCGGAAAAGCAATTATGCACAGATGGGGAGAATACACACACAGTGTTCTCTCTCTCTGATGAACTCCCAACAACCAATCACAATTGACACTGCGAAGATCACAATCRGAAAGTAACCCAGATGATGAGCCAACTCAACACAATTAACCCCAATAATCGTTAYAGAGTTTAACCCAGTGTCTCGCCACTCAAATACCACCCACTCCACTCACTTCTACACACTCAGAGTCTAGCGCTGCACTGAAACAGCCTCCCAGAGGCCAGCGCCATACACCCAGATGCAGATCATGAATAGCGAAGTAGTCTCCAGTGTCGATGAGTSTCTCTGACGATGAAGAGGACAGCTATGGCTGTCCGYCTGCTACCGCAGCAGCAGAACCCACATGTACTCTGTGAAGACCTCCCAGATAGTSCTGCCAACGCAGATATCCCCCAGGGGATAGATGCGCTGAGTACAGCCCCARCTATGGCTGTCTCAGGTGGCGGGCTATGGCTGCTCCACTCACGGCTGATGTCTCCGGTGCCACTGCAGACATTCAGCGCTGCTCCACTTGGTTGGCCACCAACGCTGCATGCGAAAAATGAAAGCCAAAAGTCCCCAAACTATTTTCCTACCGGGCCTTATAGATTCCTACTCTAGCCTAGACCTCAACTGGACTGACTGGACCTACCGGTACCGTTGCTGTTTCGGCCTCTCGGCCTCTCCCGGACCCGGCTATAGG